TAATATCTGTGTTTAGCATATCTGCGCTCATATTCTTCTACATTACTTTATTCTGTGTTATTCTTACGATGACATTTTCCACGATTTTCGCCGTTTTTGCTAGTTTACCCGCTCTGGTTGCGGTATGGATAATTGGACTATGTTTACTTATTTTCTTAATCTCATCATACTGTAAGTTTAAGTTTGTTATGATCTTCAGAACTATGATATTCCTTCACCCGTCCTCATTCGGACAAAAATCCAACTCATAGGTAGATTCTTCTCTCAGGGCGCATGCCTAGTCAGTCGTACGATCGTAACGATCGTGACGATCGCACAGCATCGGATGCGTATCGATCGTCAGACATATTCGCGGATTGGACGATCGATACGTATTTAACGCTGTGCGATCGCTACGATTGTTACGATCGGATGACCAGCTATGCAGTCTCACTCTGCTCATTAATTCATCGCTAGTAGCTAATCAAGCGAAAAAAAAGCAGAAAAGAAACAACGGCTCCTCGCTCCCTTTTTGGTGAGAGATGTGCCGTTCGTTTACCTTTTTGTCGCTTTTGTAAAGCTCTCAGGTGGTTAGGAATACTTAAGTCTTGTTACCATGTTCCCCACTGATCCATGATTTTTCCATATCGCACGCTAGTTTAGAATGTGCATTTCTATATGATCTTTAGTGAGTCATTACCATTTGTTCAGGCTTTGTGTATTACGGTAGCGAAATACGTGGTTGGTCTACTCCTAGTCAAATTGCAAATTCACTCTCATGTTTTCTATACCGTGTTCGTCTTTTATGGAATGTTGCTACCTTGTATGCTCCTATGCACTCTGAAAACGATATTGCTAGTAATCCTGTGAGGTGAGTGTGGAAGAGCTTTTTGTTAAATTATGAATGAATTGTGCGCTGTTCAATTTTTCCAAACATTCAGTTTCCTCTTTGCTGACTACCATCGTCTATCATCAATTGGTGGTGAGCAAGCACTCGCCAAAATTGTTGCCACTCTGTTCGAGTCGGCTGAAACACATTTTGGGGTTCTACCTGTGCGACTGTTCTGCTCACTAAGAACTGCCTACCGTAAGTATTTGCATTGTCAAACCATTTGAATTTTTAATTTTCTTGTTCTGGGCGCTTTTGATCGAATTTCTGGTTCTCTTTCTTCGATCATATGGTTTGGCTTCTTCAAACTTATGTTTTGCAAGAGTGCTGAGCTGTGAACGAAATTTGGCCCCCTGGCAGGACTCGAACCTGCTATTCTCGCTTACCGACGGTCGTATTAAGGAGATAACTTGAACCTCGTCCTATTCAACGCTCAATCGATTCTCCCGCATGCGCTCTCTGCGCTCAATGCGGATGTCAGATATTTTGCGATTGGAAGCGATGTGCCAAATGCAGGAGCGACGGATCGAAAGCGATCCTCACTCCTGAATAAGAAAAAATTATGCAATCACATTGCGATTTAAACCTATGATAATGGATTTCATTCACTGTAGGGAAGGGGGTGAGTTATTATTTTTGTTAATGATTGCCATAGATACTAGGAATAGAGCTGCATTAAAGTCCCTATTAACGTTGCAATCGTAGGCATTTGAATGCGACATGTTGACTTATACATTATAAGGTTTTGCGCGGCTTTGGTGACCAGTCAGTGTCTATCTCTCCTCGTAACGTTCTGTTTCAAAGCCAATTCGTAGAATGCAACATTGATCTCGCTGGCGTACGATTAAAGATTAGTCTTCAGAACACCGCTATCATTGAGTGAGGGTTCTATCCTTGCACTATTCAGTTTCCATTAACAACCCCCTTAAAGTTTCGGAACGTTTTTTTATTCTCCCACAATTATTTTCAGCGACAAGCATGGTGCTTGAGGAAGCACTTGCGGTTAACTCTAATGTTTTGCTGTAGGAGTTGCTGTGTTCATGTTGCTCTGTGCTGAAGTGTTTATGACCCTGTGGTTATTCAGTGAGAGAGATGCGACTTCTGGAGCGTAAGTATTCCTGCACTTTTTATCACATATTAAAGGGGATCTATGATCGAAGCTGTCGGCGCGTCTCGAAAGGTCCGCCGGGAGCAGGGGAATTGCTTCACGCTTTGAGCCCTTTAGCTTCACACAATATCGTTGTATTGCTAGTGTTTCCCGCTTTTTATTTCGTATGTTCAGACTCTTAGTTGCGCCTTGGCTTTGCAGTTGTTATTTCTATCTAAAGACTATCCCATCATTATAATGGTGAGGTATGGCTACACAAATGTTCCCCGGCGACGAGTTAATGCGGCTGCAAGATCAGTTCACAAACTACGTTTTGAAGGTCTCATGCAGAAGCTGCAGTCGGAGGTTAGTAATTTGACCAGCCGTCTGGTAGATCGACTTCAAACGCTGGAGCTTAAGTTTGTAATAATTAAAGCAACAGTCCCAGCAGGGTGGGCGTGGTCGGAAACGACTGCAATCCCCTCGGCCGATTCCGACCACGCCCACTTCAGCTCCCTCCTAGCGGCTTTCCAAGGTGAGTTTTTGTTCAGTCACACTTCTTACGTTCTTGACTAGGGGCTGAACAGCTCCGAAGTGGGAATCGGCCGAGGGGATTGCAGCCGTTTCCGACCACGCCCACCCTGCTGGGACTGTTGCTTTATCTCCAACTAATTCGATTTATTCAAGGTAGACATATTGGCCGATATGATAAGGTCTCTAGATGCATTCACAAGAAGTCAGACACGGCTAGTTGTAGTAGTCGACGGTCTCGATAATTGCGAGCAGGTTAGCAAATATTTCCATGCTAATGTTTTTTGTTAACTATTTGTTCAACTCTTGCCATGTTGTTTAAGGAGCGCATGGTTCAAACATTGGATGCTTTGGAACTTTTGTTCTCCGCTCGGAAGCATCGACCTTTTATAACAATCATAGCTGTTGATCCCCATATAATCGTGTCAGCCATCAATCATAATATGCATTCTGCTCTCACAGGTTGGCATATTTCTATTCTTAATTATGTTTTTTGTTGCAAAACGCGTATGTTCCCTAGGATGCTGTGAAAATCGTAATGCTGAAGTGTTTGCCTGTGCTTTTAGGAACCGAACTAACTGGTCATGATTATTTGAAGAACATAGTTAACATGCCCCTCTATCTTCACAATTCTGCTTTACGTCAGCTACAAAACAAACTGAAGGTAGGTGGATCACCCTAATCGTAGTTGGCTAAAAGCAATTTCTGGAAATTTTAGGAAAAGCGCGAGTCGTTCGCCGATTGGAAGGAACGGTACCGGCGTCAGGACACTTTCCACGGCTCACATCTCTCGTTGTCCGATGGACGTCAGAGTCGAAAGGTGTCGTCTTCTGAGTTTGAATTTCTGTCTTTGTTCAGCGAATTCATTTGGGTGTAGTTCTGCGGACAACTCATAGACTGCTCAGGAGTTTCTGTCCGAGAAAAGGCTCGTTGTTGCAGGCAACAATAGTCGTTGGTACACGTAGTATCGGAGAATCGCTTCTTAACGATGACTATTTCTCCAACATGAATCCTCGAGCAATGCGAAGAATCGTTAACGCTCTCACGCTAACGGGTAGGCTTTATGTAAAAATATTTTTTTCCATATATACATAGAATTACCGCTAGTGACCGGCTGAACCTGGACCTCTGAGCTTCAGGTCGTCTTATGCGAGCATTTGAAATCGATTTCTCTTGGCTTTCTCTTGGTCATTGGGTTTCGCTACTGGAGCAGTGGCCCAGCAGAATGTGTTGGTTGATAGATCGTGCTGTTGATATCAATAATAACGCATTGACGTTGGCAGAGGTAACTTTTTTGTTGCGAATCTGTTGTTCTATTCTGCTTCCTCATGTCAAATGTAGTAATCTTCATTTGTAACTATGGCCTGCCATGTAGTGATTTTGCTCTCTGCCACTTGTAACTGCTATAATCACACTGCTGTAGACCATATCTTTTAAGTTTTTCATGTGTTCCAAAGAGGGATGAAACGAACTTCTTAGTCCTGATATGTCAAGTATTTTGTGTTCGCTACTAATATCAGATTAGGATTAGATTAATTGCAAGCTCAAATTATTACTTGAGGATTGGTGAACGCGTAGTGCACGCATACAGGATGTATTTAAATCTACAGAGTTTGACTGTGTTTAGGTATACCATCAACTAAAAGACCATATTCCCAAGAAGGACTCGCTAATTGAGTTGGATAGGAATCCAGATAATTTTGAGGTGATTTCATGTTCTGAACTTTGATTTTCTTGTCATGCTGAATTCTGATAATCGCTTGCTATATTCAAGGCTTTTCTGGATTCGCCGGCAATTCCTACTTCGGAACAGCTTACGGTTGGTCATGTGAAGAAATTTGTTCCGTGTACTAGTAACCTCGACCCTTACCTGAGGAAGCTGATCAGAGGTATGCCACAAAACTGTTTACAATCACGTGTGAGTCTGTGAACGGCAGTCGAGCGTAATGTTCTAATGCTTTTCTCGGCATCTATTGTATTCGTAGTATAAAATCGTTTATTTTAGAACGGCGTCAAGGCTTGGAAGATCCGGTGAAGGAGCTTGGACTTGGGTCAATAGTGATACCGCCAAATGCAAAGTATTTGTTTGGGGTAGGGTTGTTGAATATTGTTGACAGAAGGATGTTATTTCCATCACAGGTGAAATTGACTGTTAACCTTGATTGTAGGATGAGAAAGTTTGGAATACTGTGAATACACCGCTCGTGGAGATGAAATTGGACGCTGTGTGTAATCTTGTGAAGCGGTTGGACATTGCTCCTAACAGGCTTGACACCATCATTCGTAAATTCCAACAACTAAATCTTGGAGGTCTTGTGTTGGCTTCTTGTTCACTTCAAGATCTGAAAGATGCGCTCGGGGTGAGAAAAATTCAGAGTTCGGCTTTCCTTTGAATTTACATAATTGTCCGTTCAGGTGCCACTTGGCGACTGGACCATGATCCGCCTTCTTGTTGAGACTTTGAAAGCGTTTGGATCGAATGTTCCTGGTTTGAAAATCGACAAGGTTCGTTCTTTCGTTTTATTTGAAACAGACCCTGATTCAGCTTACGTCTTTGTTCGTTCTCTTTGGGCGTATCCTTCGGATAATTTCCCGCACGGATCGTTCTGGCTTTCTACTAGGTTCTACAAAAAGTATTGTAATTTTTTCCCAAAATAACGACTTTTTAATACCAGTTGGCGCCGCACGCATTGCGCGCACAACACAGATCTGCGGCGAATTTTGATGGTGCGACGAAAATTTTCAAATTTGGCTTGATACACCACGAATATCTGAATTCTCAGCTAAATTCTATCCGCTCCATCATCGACGGCTTTCAACCTCTTTTTCTTCGTCAACCATTATCCTCTTTTCCCGGTCTCCGGACTGCTTCCGGACAATAAATCTCGTGGCAAACTCCGCCTACTTCGGTGCGTGCCCCGCCCACCAATAGCATTTGGCCCCCTTCCTTTCGCCGACCTCTACCCCTTTTTTTCACCGGTCTCTGGGACCTCTTGGAACCAAATTACGACACTTTTGGCAAACTCCGCAGCCGCACTTTTAGTGCGTGTCTGCCGTCCACTGATAGCGAGCTGCCTCCTTTCGTTCGGGCCGACCGTCCTATTACTTTTTTCCCATGCCCCGCGGACGTCTTGGAGGAACAAGCTATGAGTTTTCGTCGTGAACTAAACTTCACGCCCACGATGTTCAAGGCCCGCTCCGACACGATGGCAGCCGGGCCTCCACTTCTTCCATACCGCTCTATCCACCGTTTTCCGGCCTCTTTAATACATTCCGAGGCGGGCCTCCGCCCACGTCATGTATGCAGGAAACACCTTAGACATTGCTCCCTTACACCAAATTGTTTTCTGCTCTGTAGGCTTTCTCCCAACCGAGTTATGAAATTTTTCATAAAGCACTGCTTTTTTAGAGAACGCCCCGCCCACCGGGGGTGGGTCTCCCTAATTCGATGTGACTTACCAATGCACACACCCTTTACCCACAGCGTGTGACCCACAGATAGCGAGGTTTTGGGCTCTGTCACATTGAAGATCGAAATCTTGGTCTGTCGGTCAATAGAGTTCATTTAACGGGGCACGTCAAGGCCCATCTGGTGAGGTTCCGCTTTTGTATTGTCGTGAACGCTTGCGCGAACGGAAACAACAGGGTCACCATCTGCTCGAACGACAGCACTTGACCCGTCGCTGCCGGCGGATCCCAGCGACAGAGAATGTTCGTGATGAGCATAGCAGATGGGGAGACGACTACGACAGACAGACGTACAGAACGAATGGCTTTGATAGTAAGTAGGATCCACCTTTTCAAATCATGTCATCTACTTTTGGAAAAGGTTTTACCTGTGTGACAAGTCTTTATGCTTCACTACTCACGTTGTGAATAGGTTGGATTTTCAATGTTTAGCGGGACAGCATCGGGGTAGTCAGTGCGACGAAAGCTAGCTTACTGGGCAGTCAACTATCTCTATTTCACAGAGAGAACTTCATTAACGTATACCCTTCGACGCTTAGCTCCACTTGATTCTTGTTTGTTCGAACTAGAACTGGTCGTCATAGAGCATTTCTCGCAAAATCGGGTCATAATTAGTCTGGTATATTCTGTGTTGTGTGCTATCAAAATTTTATGACGTCTATGCATGGATCTCTGAGAGAGGACGACAGCACCAGGGGTGGTCCAGAGAGACGTTGTGAGCTGGGGTGCGTTGAAGGCATGTTCCAGAAACACATGTGCAACAGCCAAGAAGAATTGCTATTTGATCAAACAATGCAAGTAGTAGGGTGTGGTTTACATACTTTGGCCATGTCTTTTTTGCCAGTTTTCCCATCAATTTTCAACGCATAGGCGGTAAAAAACTTTTGGGTTCAGGTTTGACACGGTAGCAGTCATCTGTTGAGTTCCGGCGGAGAACGTTTTGATAAGATCACTAAGCTTAGTGGACATCACTGCTTGATTTCTCCCAATGGGGAGTGGATTGGAAATTTAAGCTGATTGTTGGATTGGCTAGTTTTTTTTTTGCCGACCGCACTCCCACCTTGCAATCTTGAAATCCAACTCACTCACAACGAACGCTGAAATGAGGCATTAGCTTTTGTAGATAGAGAGCAGGTAGATTTAGCATATTCACGACGAGGTGCGTTTTTTGCTTATCGGTCGCGTGGAACAAGCGCGATTTCGAAATCGCCGCTGTGGAGTTCGTGTAGTAAATGGTACTGTTTTCATTCACATTTTGAATAAATTGAAGAAGAAGAATTGAGGGAACCAAAAATTTAGCAGGATACCTCTTCTTACCAAAGGGCATCAATTCTAACAGTAGACCACGATGTTCAGAGTTACACATTTCCCTAATCATTTCACTGATATCCAACAAAATTGTGATATCAGCAAGCGACAGGCAACTGATGGCTGGCAAGCCATATGAGCTGCCATTATCCAGCGAGCACGCGCAACTGGCAGCCCATATGGGCTGCCATCGACGTGACTGTGGTAATCAAAGGGATCTCCTCTGTGTGGTTTATGACATGATGTAAAATATGGAAATTTTGGACCAATTCTCTCTTGGAAAGGAATATACTGCTCATCGGGCGATTAAAAGTTTGTCAGTGGCGCTTGCTCACGCCTCACTTGGCCCTATACTTATGCACTCAGGTGGATTGAACGCTATCCAGTGCAATATTACGAGCGAAAAAAGCATGAGTATTTTAATTATGGTGTAAACAACCGTCAAGTGTTCAATGTATTGGGCTTAACATATCCTCACGACTGTCACGAACCTCATTTTATCACTTGTAGAGGAAAGCGTTAACATTACCCGAAGAGGACGAGGATGGCGCAGATGTGGAAGTTGAGGTGACCCGCCGTGACACTATAGTGCACTCACCGTCTGCCCTGCTGACTACTGAGCAGCGGAGAAGGTTTGGTTGTTTGTCTTTTCGTTTTTATCGGGTCCATTACATCTAAAATTCAGATCGATGGCAGCATCAACAGAAATGAACAGTGATCACAAGTGGCTCATGGAAAGTCTCTCCGGGATGGACCTAAGTTAGTAAAAAGGCAGCATACATGCTAGTTTGACTGATATTTTATCATTGCAGCTCAAGCCGAAGGAGATCTCGACTTGGCTCCATCTTCTGCGAATTCGGTCCGCTTTGGCGATGCTTTAGAAGACGGTCTCTCGCATCTGATGCGGACAGCACAGAGTCCCGCTTCGGAAGTCGAGAGAATCTACTGGATCCAAGTCCTCTTCTGAGCCGGCATTCCAGCACTAGCAACGGGAGGTGAGAGTTAACTGAATTTTGTATTTGTATTTTTTTGCAAAATGTGACTATTGCAATTTTTGTGATGCACATTTCATCATATATTACCTAGGTCAGTTAAAATGTCACGTGTGCCTACATTTCTGTGGCATAATGGCCAAGGAACTTTTTCTGTTATTAAAAACGTCTTTTATAGAAACCTCATGGCTTTCAATTTTTCTTCAAAGCAATTTTTACCCCCTTGCGAGTTTATTTGCTTTTTAGTATATATTCAATTTGGCATAAATTTTCTAATTCATCAGCCGAATAGCTTGATTTTTGCTCGTCCGGCTTTCTAAAAGGTAAATTAAAACTTTCTTCAGCTTATGTTAGCTCATTCATTTCATCACTAGAGTTGGTCTATGATCGTCCTTCTTATTTCAGTTAAGCTTAGTTGGCTTCATTATCGAAAATATTCTTCCGCCATTTCAACGTTGATACACTACTGTTTTATTTACGCTTCACGATCTAAATGGCCTGTTTAAATTTCGTTAAATGACCTGTACTTTGTTGCACCCTTCATCCGGCCCATTCTTACATTCTTCTCTGGAATAAGTGGTCTAATGTCGACACCGTAGACATCGGTATGTAGACATGCTTACCCAGCAGTGAGTGAAAAAAGTCCTTTTGATTGAACTCTGCATTTCAAGCTCACCATCAGGTAGGTGCGGCTAAGGTGCAGAAGTATCTGCGCTCCAAATCTAGATGGACTAAAATTTCTAACTAGCCGAGCGGTTTTGCTTTCATGGCCTTCGTCAACACTCGGTGTTGATCGTTCAACCCATGCCTTGCAAGGCTGCTCAAGAAATGTGCTACTGATTAGTTTTTGGAGATTGATTTAATAAAGGCGGTTAATCATCTGACAGCCTTCCCATGCTTCAGAAAATTGATTCGTTATGTATTTTTGGCAACTATGCGCCCAACTTTCATCAAACGACATGGGTTTCATGCCCAGTTCTGAATTTTTTCCACTCCTTGCTGAGCAATTATGTGTACGATACCGATAAGTTGTCAGAATACGTTGTTCTGATGTTGCTTGTTTAGCATTAGGAACCGAACCTCGTACAGGAATTCTCCTCACTATAGAAGAATGAACCGGTAGGCGGTTGTTGAGTGTGCATGCTGATAACACAGATTTAGATATTGAATCGGTCGGAGTCTTGCCATACTGATATTGTCATTTTTTACTATCCTATCTGTTTTCCGTATAATATGACAAATATCATTCACATTTGATCCTTTCATCCTGTAGCTCCTGCATTCTCTCTTTGAACCACGCGCACAGCTTTACTTACCGCGTATGGGTTCGCATAAATCTCGGCATAGTGACGCTGCTGATCTTCTTTCGAACTCTCCACGGGGTTCTTAGATGAAGTTAATTGCCTCACTTTTGATGTGGATCGCCTTCACCGCAGTCTGAATTCATCGAAGCAGTTTATGGCTACCCGACCAAAAGTTTTCGCAAACCGAGTGAGTCCGAAAACAAAGAATACATGGTGTAATTCAGTAGGGTTATGAAGCGTTTGATCGAGTAGCCTCTAATTGCTTTTGATCCCTCCAGAATATGAAGAAAGCGAACTGCCGAAACGTAAGCCAGTGACCTTTTTTATCAGCTCGTGAAGAGTGCAAAGAAGAAATCAGTTGCAGTTTTAAATTCTCTCCAAAATTGGAGATGTTTTAGAATCGTAGCGTGCCATATTGCTGTCTTACGAAGTCAGAGTCTCCTCTTCTTTGCAGCTGTCGACAAAACCAAAATGTTCACTGAGCTGAGCTCACCACCGGAACTAATGGTGGAAACTTTTAAGCCAGGTGTTCCATGATTACAGTACCCAGCATGATTCAAACTCAGGAGCTGTCGAAAATATCTTTT